CTTGATAGAAAGTGTACACACTTCCTATCAATCTCCTGAGTTTATAAAGGTTGAAAAAGTGGGCAGATGGATATTTAACTTTCTAACAAATAGAACCCAAAGAGTAAGAGTGAAGAGTAAAATCGAAGGCAGCCACAGTGAAAAGTTGTTCCCCATGGTACAGTACTAGCTCCAATTCTTTTCCTTATTCTAATATCCAACACAGGCATAAATCATACTGCTTTAACGTCTTTTGCATCCACTGAGGACACAGTGGTTGATATACGTATACCAAGTCTTTCAGTGGGCCACCGACAAAAATATGATGTTCCAATACACGATTTGGTTACTCTGCTATGGAAAAATTAAGGATAAAAGCATGAACAGAGTACACAACACCAGATAAGAAGTTTAATGTGAGACACTTTGGAGAGATAATATGAGATATTCAAGGATCATAGCAATGTTATTTTCACAGACACATGGAAAGTGATAGGTTGGATAACTTGAACCTTGAAAACAAGATACCAATCCAATTATTATTCTTGCCAAGTTGCTTCTCTCCAAGACAGAATATTGCTTTATACTGACAGCAACTTTCAAGCTAAGAAAAACAGCAGAGCTAGAAATGTACGGAGGACTATACTGCCCGTATAAATTCAGACGAGGACCTACATTACTGGGACCAATTATGTTCTGCAAACTATGCTCTCTGAAGAGTAGAGGAGAAAGATGCTTATACATCATAATTTACATCTGGAAATTCTGGAGGGATTAGTCCCAAATCTGCCCACCAAAAGCACTCCCTGCAAATGCAAGATGCTTGGTAGATGGTGCAAAATAACTTTGATGAATAGCAGTGTCAAGGGTCCAAGGCTCTTTAATCCCTTCAAGGTCCAAGGCCCAAATCTGAAGTGGTGCCCCAGTGTCCAAGAATTTTCAAAAAAAAAAATTTTTTCTTTTTTTCTTATGAAATGGTAGAGAATCTTTTTGTGAAGGTAATAAAACAAAAAGTACGAAATTTTATGGAAAATTGACGAAATTATGCTCTCGCGAATTTTGATGTGTCAGCGATATTTACGAATCGGAGATTTTGCCGACTTTGACTCCCATTTTAGGCCAATTACATTATTCCGGTCAACCAAATTCTTAGCTATTTCACTAGTATTACTTCTATTCTATCGACTGAGCACAAGAAATCACCAAGTCAACTGTTTCAACTACAAATTAAAGTGATCGGAAATTGTTAATTTGGCCAATTTAACACAAAGTTCAAAATATTCCAATTTCAAAATAGGGTCCAGAATAAACAATGTAGGTATTCCTGGCACTAAACTAACATTTCCTCTGTTCATTAGTTATGTTTTGAGGCTTTACAAATAAATTCCATTTTGATTTTTTATTCACATAAAGAATTTTTATTCACACCAAAAAATAGAAGATTTACTGTTATGCAATACTGTAATAATTGTATAAATATCATCACCATATTTGTGAATGCATATTAGACCCACCAGCTGGCGTGTATTAGACGTGTGAGTCGTTTGTTACTCTTGAAATCGGCAAAAAAATTTAACATTTCCGCTACTTTGAGCTCATTTCAACCATTTCAGTGAAAAACCAATGAAAATCATTCTATTTCTGTAATATTCTTTCCCTTCTTCAAATAAATAAAAATCACAAATACAACTAAAAAAACATACAAAAAAAAAAAAAAAAAAAAGGCAAAGTCGCTGTTTTTAAACGAAAAATCATGATTTCAGTTTTTTTTCTCATTTAAAACAGTGGGTAGGGTCGTTTTTTTGGGTGCACACATTCCAATAGATGTATTTCTCATATATAGGCCCAAATGTCCCCCTCACAGTTTATCGGTGAGTGAGCCATGACGTAGACTACGGTTTGGCCCTGAACGAAAGCCGTAGATCTCGGACGGACCCCCGAAAGGGTTAACAGCCTTCAACAAAGAGGAAAATTTCCAAATGGGCTCCAGTTGTCTTTTTAAGAAGGCACTTAAAAGTTCCCCATACCTATTCCTGACCAGCTGGGCTGTGATGCATGTGTTGGCTTGTGTGCAACTAGCACCAACAGCTTGGTTGATTGGGCCATCAACTTAGAGGCCCGGTCTGAGACCAGGCCATGGATGAGGGAGAGGGGGGACAATGACCCAGAAACCACCTACAGGTAACCTACAAATTTCTAATGTTATTTACTTTTCTTGAGATTTAAGTGTATTTTATCAAAATTTATTAGAATATTACGAAATTTTGTATCAATATCTGCTCTTAAAAATATCAAAATGCATGAAGCCTGCTTCCACCACTTCCTCACTAAGATCATTCTACTACCTAACTACTCCGAGACTGAAGAAATACTTCCTAACATCCCTGTGGCTCATCCGTGCCTTAACCTCCCAGCTGTGTCCCCGAGGTTCTGTTTCTCTCCTCACAACCAGCCTGTCCCTCTCTACCTTATCAACTTCCCTTAGCTCAGGGACAAACCTTGTTGTATATCTCTGCACCTTCTCCACTTTCTTAACCCTTTCACTGTCCAAACTCCCAAAACTGATGTTGCTCACAGTGTCCACTTAAACAAAAAATTCTGCTATGGAACATACAATCTTTATCTGGAGGTAATGACACCAAAACTATGAAATTTTGTGGAAAACTTACGGAATTACGTAGGCACAAGTTAAGTTTCTTGGTGCAATTTATGCATTGGCAATTTTGCCAACTTTGAGTCCTATTTTAAGCAATTCCATTACCTCAATCCACTAAATTCTAAGCTATTTTGCTAGTATGCCTTCCATTCCTTCCATATCGATGGAGCACAAGAAACTGCCCATTCAACTATATCAACTACCCTATAAAGTGCGCAGAAGTCATTAATTTGGCCAATTTTACACAAATTTTAAAAATACCAGTTTGAAAATAGAGTCCAAAATAAACAAAGTAAACATCTCTGGCACTATAGTAGCACTTTGTATGTTCATTAGTCATTAATTAACAGGCCTTTCCTATATTACACTTGCCTTCAACTTTGAATTCACAATCACACAAAAATAGAAGACTCACTTTATTTCTTGGATAATAAAATATAACCAGGAATGATTGGTCATGGTTTACTATTTCCCAATAATTTAATCAGACCTATTAAAACCCCATAAAATAGACTGGGAGTTGTAGGGGGCCTTACCTGTACTCTAGAATAACTGCAAAAATTGACTATTTCTGCTACTTTGAGCTCAATTTCAAACTACTTCCAGTCCTGAAACCAATCAAAATCATCTCCATTTCAGTGGTATGTCTTCCAATCTATCAGTGATACCAAGAAACAGCCAATAAAACCAAAATGACTCTCTCAGGTACACCTGATGTAATCCCATTTATTTCTCCCCACTGAAACTCCTCGACTCCTTTCAGGTTTGTTTCACTTAGAACTAGGACATCCAACTTTTTTTTGTCTGAAACATCGATAATCATCTCTTTCTTATCATCTGCACTACATCCATGCCCATTCAACCACCCAAACTTAAAGTTTTTCTTCTTATGTTTAGTAATTTATACAGAAGGGGTTACTAGCCTCTTGCTCCCAGTATTTTAGTTGCCTTTTACAATACTCATGGCTTACTGAGGAAGGATTCTTTTCCACTTCTCCATGGAGATGAAAAGAAATAAATAGCAACAAAAAGTATCAAAAAAAAAAAAAATAGAAAATGCACATGTCTATCGTATACATACATGTGCACATGCCTGTGTAGCATGACCTAAGTGCAAGTAGAAGTAGGATGATGTCTCTGTAATATTATGCATTTATGAGACAGAAAGAAAACACTAGCAATCCTACCACTGTGTAAAACAATTACAGGTTTGAGTTTCACTCACTGGACAGAATGGTTAGTACCTCCCTGGGTGGTTGCTGTCTACCAACCTACTACCTAGGTACTACCTATTTTTTTTTTTCAACAAGTCGGCCGTCTCCCGCCGAGGCAGGGTGACCCAAAGAGAAAGAAAATCCCCAAAAAGAAAATACTTTCATCATTATTCAACACTTTCACCTCACTCACACATAATCACTGTTTTTGCAGAGGTGCCCAGAATACAACAGTTTAGAAATATATACGTATAAAAATACACAATATATCTCTCCAAACTGCCAATATCCCAAACCCCTCCTTTAGAGTGCAGGCATTGTACTTCCCATTTCCAGGACTCAAGTCTGGTCATATAAAATAACCGGTTTCCCTGAATCCCTTCACTAAATATTACTGGTCACTACCTATATATATATAATTTATTCATTTGTTTTTAACACAAAAGCTCCTAGCTTTACATCTTTTCTTGTAGATCTGCAATAATATTTTTCTCGCCCTTCATAAATTATTTTTAATCATTTGAACCTCAAATGTTTTGGGTCGATTTACTCATGCCCCTTCAAGCCTCATTTATCTTGCTAACACTCTGAACAGTAACTAAAATATTCTAAAGCAGAGGTGGTCTGTATGAGCTTATTACTTAAAATATAAACATGCAAGCTGTCCATCTCACACACAAATTGAAGCATTTCTCAGGTTTATGTCAATTAGGTTAAAAAAAATAAAGGGGTCCCCCAACTTATGAATGATTGAGGTATGAACTTCTACACATACTAACGAGGCATGTAAGAAAATATTTAGAAAATATTTTTTTTTGAATGCTAAACACACATGACACAATGATTATTTAATGTTTTCTCAAAGGAAAATAGGTTGAGTTCATAACAGCTTGTTCTTGATTACAACGAAAGTAACTCATTTGCTAGTTGGGGCCCCCTGTATATATAAGTATTGTTAATACCTGCTCCTCACTTTAAATATTCCAATGTGGACATGTATTTACCAAAATGCATAAATTATTAAAACTGATTAAGATGCCTTGCAAATTGTTAAAGCAGGTTTTAAGCTACCACTGATGCACATGCACTGTACAACTGTCAATGTATTACTTGCCAGAAACACTCATTACATCAACAATGGAAAGGCTCACCTTGATTGGTCCTCATTGTGAATTCGCTTGAGTTCCCTAATATGAAGATTTCTTTCTCTCTCAAGTTTTTCCATTTCCTGCTGTAGGTCTGTGTCTTCCTTTTTAAGAGCGGTTTGCCTTAACTGTTCAAAAGAGACAAATACAATAGTAAAAATAGCTATGCACATTAATATTACGTTTTTACGCTTAGCAATGAGCAAAGGCTAGATAAAATATAGATCTATAGTACTATGTATGTATGTAAGTTAAATCAATTAGAATACAGCATCTTATCTTGCCTGTGTATCTCATAAGCTTAAATATACTCAGCTGAAAACTATCACACAGACAAAAAACACTCAACATTACACAAATAACCCGCACATAGGAGAGACTCGTGACAATGTTTCGGTTCGACTTGGACCATTAACTAGTCACAGTTTGAGCTTTCAGAGCTGTGATTACTGGTACCCCTCACCAGGTAGGTAGGCAGGCACATGTGATGCACTTCAAAGAGAAATTCTTTTTCCTATGTGTGGGTTATTTGAGGTTAAGGCCGTCACAACTCTAACTAGCTTGGAGCTGTCACAACTCTTCAACTCAACAAAATCAGATACTTCTCTCAATGTGTTGATCATTTTTTCAAATTGTTTTATGTTATACACTCATAAAATGGAAGGAATAATACCGATATGCTTCTTCTAAACAACAGTTTCATCTGGTGAAGGGAGGAAGGCATGGTGGGAGGTACTATATGAAAAATGACATCACTTGTGACTGGTTTCATAGCTGATTCTACGCTACTGTATAGCACAACCAGGTTGTGATGGCTAAGACCCATGAACCATTAGCAGCAACAGTCTGGTTCATCAGGCACTGAAGGCAATCTGGCCTCAGGCCACACTGCAGAGGCAGGAGAACCTTCAAAACTAACCTCAGGTATGCCACTGATTCTAGACGACCTGTACATAAAACTAACAGCTTGACTCTTACCACCTGCTCTTAAAATAAAACGCAGCTTACTACCTGACAAGCCAGCCATTTTGCTGTTGCATTCAATACACATACTAAACATTATTTTACAAGCCTGTGGATGCACATCACCCTTGATACATCCACTTCGCTTCATGAGCCTGCCCCATGGTCGGGCTCCGAGAGTCGTAACTCTTTCGAAACTCATCATAAGTAAGGTATATCAAAGGTATAGTGGCATATTTGTATTCAAAAGCTTAGACACTTTGGCATGTTATTATTAAAAATGTATAAAAATAATATCACTGTCATTGTCTTGCCAGAGGCATGCAGATACAAATAAATAGGGATAAAACACTAAAACATAATCTTATTAAAGCAAAGTAGTGTGTCAACTTTTTTTATGTATTTTTTTTTAGCATACCAGTAATATATTAGCCAAACAACTTCTTATGGTAAACTTTTTTTTTTTTCCTTAGCCTATTGAAGAAGCCTAATGGTAGTAAAGGGAACAGTATCGGGTGGATTCAAAGCCTGAGCTTTCAAAGCTGTAATCCCTGGTACCCTTCACCAGGCAGGAAGGCATATGCAATGCACTGCAAAGAGAGTTTCTTAAACAAAGATCCATAATGAACGTAAGCAAATGATCTTAGTAATACTGTACATAAAAAACAAACCTAAAATACCAACCTTTAATATTTCTTCTGACTCGTAATATTCCTGGATGGTGAGGTCTCGATGGTCATGTTCGCCCCCAAGGCCATTCGGAAGATTTCCACCGACCTGTCCTTGGTTGCTATTGGACCCTCGTTTCCGAGAGTTACTCCCGCTTTCCGATGGTTTACGTTTCATTAAAAGTTTTCGCTGCCGGTCTATTTCTTCTCTATTTGCTTGGAGTTCTTCTTGCCGTCTGTAACATCACAAAAAATGAACAATTACTGTGCAAAATTACTAAAAATATTATAGAAACACAGAAGTGTCAGTACGGTAAATGCAACTAGTATTATTAAAGTTTAAAAGAACAGTACATTCAACCCTACAATTCTGTGTAGGTTACATTCCTAGAGGTCCCCCTGAAACTAAATTCCATGTATAATACAAAATTATGTATACTATATGTATTAAATCTAGTTTTAGATTTAGGCTTATTCTGTGCTTTAGAAGTTTTATATTTTTATCACATCAGCTACATCTCACCAAGACAGGGTGACCCAAAGAATGCATTGCATTCACCTTTTATTCCACAGCTGTCTTGACAGAAGTGTGTGAACACCACACCTGAACAAACACACACACAAACTTTCTTTACTTCTGCGGTATACAAAGGTAGAGTGCATGTAATAAAATACTGTTAAGCACAAAAAAAATCCACTAACATGCTATGCATTTCAGGCAGTGACCATCCCTATCCCTCTTCCAGAATGCAGGCACTGAACTTCTACCTTCAAACTTAAGTGTGGCTCATTTCCCTGAATGCCTTCATAAATGTTACCTTACTTATACTCCAATAAAATGTTAAATTTAAAAAATATAACCTGTCTCTACCATGTGTGTCATAAGAGGCAACTAAAATGCTGGGAGCAAGGGGCTAGTAACCCCTTCTCCTGTATACAATACCAAATTTAAAAAGAGAAACTATAATTTTTCTTTTTGGGTCACCAATATTAACAATGACAGGCTTCTGAAACACAATGAGCCTAAATCTGAACCAAAATTTATTATACATTAAAAACTTTAATCCAAAATCTACCAGTCATTAGAAGCAATAATTATTATAATCATAACCATAATTTTTAAAGGGATGGACAGGTAAGCCAGTGGAAGGCCTCAGTCAGATAACCAAAAGCTCCAGTTGTGGGTCATCAAATGACTAAGACCTGCATCAGGAAACACCTGTCCTGTTTCCTGACCAATCTTACCTAACCTAACCTAAGCACTTACTTGGTTATTTCCTGAAAAGCGTAGCCATCTTGCCAGTTTTCCTGAAAGGTGGCCCCTACCCTCTGAGTGACAAACTGCCCCAGCCTTAAACGGTTCTGCATGCATTTTTGTCTTGCTTCCTTCTTCTCTATATTAGATTTCTCAATCTGTAGTTTCTTGACTACTTCGATACATTTATTAATTTGTAATTGTTTCTGTTCAAGAAGTTTACTTTGTGTCTGTAGCTGTCGAGATAATTCTTCATTTGTCTGCAAGACGAAGACATCGGTGATAGAATCAATGACAATTTCATGTTTACAAAACTTCAATAATAATGATAAATCTTTATATCTCATTATGATTATAACAGGTTATAGCATTATTTGTGGTTGAATATTCTTAATTAAAATTTTAATATGGTATAATGTATATTTAACCAATGACAGCTCATTAAAATTCTTATATTAATTTACATGTCTTTGCATACTTACACACTGTAAATTATCAATTCTTGAATTTTTTGCCTCCATGTCCATAGACGCACGACTCTCCATTTCTTCTACCTGCCTAAAAGTAATATCACTCTGCGTGGAGCGGTGAGTAACAGGAACACCTCGAGGGGGAGGCATTAATCCAACAAGTGGATCGCCTAAACCCCCGCTGAGCCCAGTCTGAAATAATGTAGACGCTCTTTTAGCTTTTAATGTATAAGATTATCTTTAGTTATAATTATTACAATCAACCTCTGTCATCAACCAATAACCGTGTATAGAGTGACAACCTATTACGGCGTTGTTTTATTTGCAATGTATATAAAAATCACAATGAGACTGCTAGCTTTTGAAATCCAGTCATATGAGGAGTGAGGACATGCCAGCACAGTACTCTCTCTTATAAAACAGTCTCCTGAGTTCCTTCATAACTGTTACACTGCTAAAGCATGGGTAACAATATTCACCATATGACTTAGAAGTGTCTGTGGGGAGGGACTTTTAGCTCCTGAGTGTCTATGAGGAGAATTAACTTGTTGTTGCTGCTGCTGCTGTTGTTGCTGCTGCTGCTTAATATAATCGTTGATTTTCTTAGCTTCCGTGGCTCTGTTCATCTTAGGAGCCGCCGCCCCCCCTCCTTCATCATTTTGTGACCCGAGTGATCCACTTTTCCGTTTCCTTTTCCGGTCGCTCAGGATTCGCTGCTGGGCTTTATCTGGACTGGTGCTTTCTTCTCTGTCAGAAGACCCTACAAAATATTGGAGGGAAATCACATACTAACTGGTATTCACATCTTAAGATGAAATATTCATAAAATGTACAGTATTATAAAGTGTGTAATTATTGGGACTAATACTACAACAAATATCCACAGATTATCTCAAAGTTTTTTCTTTTATTTATTCATTTCAAAGTCGAGACTATTCTAAGATAGACTGCCACTTCCTAGGATATGATCCACAACAGCTAAACAACATATGCTAGGCAAACAGGAGCAAGAGATATTAGGAAACTTGTGCATACATCTCCAGTGCCCTGAGATTGAACCTGGATTAATCAGTTGTGAGCTAAAGGTCATATCACTGAGCTACGAGCCACCTTGCTAGGTCTAAACTTCATGTGAGGAGTAACAAAAATGGAAAATGAACCATTCAATCCTTCCTAATAACTAAGAACAGCATTTTACTACCATTCTTATAGTACCTGGGCAGATTTTATGAAGACTTTTCATTGTATCCACAAGACACTTACCAGTCAGAGACTCATATTTCACTTTTTTTTTTTTTTTTGAACACATTGGCCATTTCCCACCGAGGCATCTCTATCCTTGCATCACATCTTGACCTTACACATCTCCACTCATTCAATCATGCCTCCACTCATTCAATCACATGTCTCCACTCATCCAATCACCAAATTTTTCTCTTAAATTCCCTCCTTTCGTTTTCTCAGTACCTGTGTGCATTCTAACTCAATTATTGTGTAGCCAATCTTTTTATATTAAAGTTGATCATTACTCATATATCAATAACCACCTTTTCTAATAATTCAACTTTCTCATAGAATCATTCCACTTTTATTTGTTATTCTAAAACTTTACTGAATGTCACCATTTATCCAGTTTTTACTTTTCTTGAAATACCTTCGTACCTCCGCAACTATTATAGTACCTTCTAGTCATACTATACCATACTATCAGGTGAATTTAAAACACAACTGACCAGTGCTGAGGTTAGAATCTTGTCTGTCCAATAGCATAGGCTGAGAGACAGATCCGGACATAGACGTTGGTGGCTGCGTGGAAGTGGGAGTGCTGGGATTACTCCCACCCAGGTGCGCCTGCAAAGAAAATACAACATTTTGTTTGAAGATAATTTTGAAGTCCCTGATTATGGAGGGAAGGGGTAGAGGGGGGGGGGAGAAGGAGCAGCAGCAATGGATATACATATAGTACAGTATACAGGATTATAGGGAACTCTCCTTTGAGTTTTCTATGAAACACTTAACATCTCTTAGATAGTCTAGAAGAACATTTTTCCAAGTAAGAGGTATACTGATACAAACAGTGCTCATGTGCTGGCTTAGAGTTTCATGACTCAATTGCCTCAAGTTCAATCCCCACCTGTACTGTGATGTTTGAAATCGTGGCATTATGATTTTGTGAGTCATGATGAAAGGACACAAGTGCATACACTTAGGCTTGAGAAAGCTCCTAGAGAGTGAAACACTGTCACAATAATATGTCACATTAGTTGCATCTGTGGCCATTTATCTAACATTTTGTCTGCAATCCTACCATTATTACTAATAAAGTGTTACCTCAAGTTTCAGCCATAATTTATTCCAGAAGGCTGTTCAAGTGCCATTACTGAACGAATTTGTTCCCATAAGGAATAATAAAAATTAGATTAGTCTGTTTCAGACCCCCAAAAATACAATTACAAAAGCAGTTACAAAAATACACTTACATAACAAATAAAGTCACAATACCATGACTGGAACGATACACAAATAACCCGCACATAGAAGAGAGGAGCTTACGACGACGTTTCGGTCTGACTTTGTACATGGTCCAAGTCGGACCGAAACGTCGTCGTAAGCTCCTCTCTTCTATGTGTGGGTTATTTGTGTATACACTTACATAACTATTTGAGTTGGGAACTGTTCGAAACTCGAGGTACCACTGTATTATCCTTTTATTATCTACAGTTCTTTCTCAAGGGAAGTGATGAGAATCACCACAAGTGGCAGAGGCTTGGTCGTCGTCGTTCATGGCTAGAGACAGCTCTGTCTAGTGTGACTGCACTATGGTATGATAGTGTGACCAACCACACTGTGATGGATATGTGGAACAGTAGGCCACCAGCAGCAACAGCCTGGTTGACCAGGCAAACACCAGACAAGCCAGGCCTCAGGCTAGGCTCTGGGAGTAGAAAAACCTTGGAAACTCATCAAAGGTATACCTAAGAGCTCAGCCTGTTAACTAACACTGACCAGTTTTACAGATGCCTAGCTACTAGGGGCCTGATCATACCTACTCTTAAAACTGCATACTGTATTTGCTTTAATTCCCTCCAACAAATTTGTTCCATTTTATTCATGACACTCAGACACACAAAATACAGTAGTCTTAACCCTTAAACTGTCCAAACGTAGATTTATGTTTGCACATGTAGCGCTCTAACCTTGATTTTCTCCATAAGAAAGCATGTAAAAAAAACGTAGATCTATGTTCGGAGTGCTACGCGAGTGAACGTAGATCTACGTTTGGACAGTTTAAGGGTTAGACCTCCAGGGACACAGATGGCATCTTCAGCTGCCATACATGTCCCTGGCTCCCTCTTACCACATTTTTTCTTGTTTCTAAGCATACTTTCTAGTCTCTATAGTATTTTTTTGTCATGATCACGTCTTCCCTGATCCTCCTCTCTCATCTTTAGGGTTATTAGCTTAAGTCCTTCAAGTTTCTCCTTATAATCCATCTCCCTTCATCCCTGCATCAATCTTGTTGCAAATCTTTGCATCCTTTGCTGTTTACATATTTGATCAACTACAGGATCTATGCTATTGTTGCATAATCCAAGGTGGGTATAATGTATACCTTTGATATACCTCTGATGAGTTTTGAGTCTTACTATTCTTGGATCCTGGCCATGGGCCAGGCTTGTCTTGTGCTTGCCTGGTCAACCAGGCTGTTGCTGCTGGAGGCCTGCTGCCCCACATATCCATCACAGCCTGGTTGATCTGGCACCTAGGTGTGTATGACGACATAAATGACTGTGTGTTAAGGATACGAGTGCAACTAAGAAGACATTTTACTGTGGCAACGTTTCACTCTCCAGGAGTTTGCCGCAATAAAAATGTTTATTTCCTTGCAAAGCTTACAAAGAAAGCCACTAGCATGCATAGGCAGTTTGGACAGACTAATCCTAATTCTTACTGACTATTCTACACTGACACAGGTTATGGAGCAGTACATTTAAATGTCTTGTTAGTTACACGTGTTCTTTTACCTAACATATCATTGATAATTCTACCAATATTATTACAATTTCTGAAAAGCAGTTATTGGGTTAGCTAGTTCTGCTTACAGTATGCCACCAAAGTTATATCATCGCTCAATTCCCGTAGCTACATTCCTGACCACATATGCAACCTGTCTGTCATCAAGTCCTCTCCATTTGCCTTCTATTTTTATCAGTTTCACATCATTATAAACAGTGAAGGATTTAATCCACTTATGTACAACTATAATAGATTTTGTTATGTTTAATCTGTGGGTATTTATACCAAACAAAAACCTTATACTGTACTATTAACTTTTCAAAGTAATGAGCAAATTGATTTTTTCTTTACTGTTGAATTTACATACGATATTAGGAGTACATCCTAGGTAGTGGGTTGGTAGACAGCAACCACCCAGGGAGGTACTACCGTCCTGCCAAGTGAGTGTAAAACGGAAACTTGTAATTGTTTTTTCATGATGGTAGGTTTGTTGGTGTCTTTTTTCTGTCTTGTAAACATGCAAGATTTCAGGTACGTCTTGCTACTTCTACTTACACTTAGATCACACTACATATACATGTACAAGCATATATATACACACACTCCTCTGGGTTTTCTGCTATTTTCTTTCTAGTTCTTGTTCTTGTGGAACAGAATTCTTCCTCTGTAAGGCATGCATGTTGTAGAGGCGACTAAAATGCCGGGGACAAGGGGCTAGTAACCCCTTCTCTTGTATAAATTACTAAATTTAAAAAGAGAAACTTTCGTTTTTCTTTTTGGGCCACCCCGCCTCGGTGGGATACGGCCGGTTCATTGAAAGAAAGAAGATTAAGAGTACATGACCACCCCACAGGATACCACCAGCAACACTGTATTAACAGTTGGATAACAACTTACTGCTACATGAACAGAGGGAACGAATGTGAGGAAACATTGTCCAACATTTCTGATTAGACCAAGGATGGAACTCAGGTCCTTCAGCTGTGAATGGAAGGTAGTAGCACTGAGCCACAAACCTCTTAACGTTGTTTTATCCTTGAAGCAGCAGCAGCAAGTCCATCTCACTTAGAATTGTTTCCAATCCCACTAAGAGTGAACTGTATTTACAGTATTAAGACAACTTCAACATTTTGCACTGTACCAGTTATCTTCCTGTTTCTGATTCAGAGGAGTCATTGACCCATGGCCAGACCTGGCCATGGACCAGGCCTGGCAGCATGCAGTCCAGCACAGACAACAGCCCAACTGATCAGGACTGACATACACAAGTAACAATATGCATCTTGCCACTACAAATTTTACATTTATTAAAATATAAAAATTACAGAAAAAATACTCAAATTTAGCAAACTGTACCAAAACTTGACTCATATGACAAGCACCTAAAGTCGGTTCCTGACCAGCCGGGCTGTGGCTCGTACGTTGCTTTGCATGCAGCCAGCAGCAACAGCCTGGTTGATCAGGCTCTGATCCACCAGGAGGCCTGGTCACAGACCGGGCCGCGGGGGCGTTGACCCCCGGAACTCTCTCCAGGTAAACTCCAGATATCCAATACAGCCTCTCCTCACTTGACGATGCAGGTCTGTTCCTAAGACCACATCAGTAAATGAATTCATCGCTAAACAAGAACATAAGAACATAAGAAAGGAGGAACACTGCAGGAGGCCTGTTGGCCCATACTAGGCAGGCCCTTTACAATTCATCCCACTAACAAAACATAAGAACATAAGAAAGGAGGAACACTGCAGGAGGCCTGTTGGCCCATACTAGGCAGGCCCTTTACAATTCATCCCACTAACAAAACATAAGAACATAAGAAAGGAGGAACACTGCAGCAGGCCTGTTGGCCCATACTAGGCAGGTCCTTTACAATTCATCCCACTAACAAAACATAAGAACATAAGAAAGGAGGAACACTGCAGCAGGCCTGTTGGCCCATACTAGGCAGGTCCTTTACAATTCATCCCACTAACAAAACATAAGAACATGAGAACATAAGAAAGGAGGAACACTGCAGGAGGCCTGTTGGCCCATACTAGGCAGGCCCTTTACAATTCATCCCACTAACAAAACATAAGAACATAAGAAAGGAGGAACACTGCAGGAGGCCTGTTGGCCCATACTAGGCAGGTCCTTTACAATTCACCCCACTAACAAAACATAAGAACATAAGAAAGGAGGAACACTGCAGGAGGCCTGTTGGCCCATACTAGGCAGGTCCTTTACAATTCATCCCACTAACAAAACATAACATAAGAAAGGAGGAACACTGCAGGAGGCCTGTTGGCCCATACTAGGCAGGTCCTTTACAATTCATCCCACTAACAAAACATAAGAACATAAGAAAGGAGGAACACTGCAGGAGGCCTGTTGGCCCATACTAGGCAGGTCCTTTACAATTCATCCCACTAACAAAACATTTGACCTACCCAATTTTCAATGCTACCCAAGAAATAAGCTCTGATGTGAAAGTCCCACTCAAATCCAACCCCTCCCACTCATGTACTTATCCAACCTAAATTTGAAACTACCCAAAGTCCCAGCCTCAATAACCCAACTAGGTAGACTGTTCCACTCATCAACTACCCTATTTCCAAACCAATACTTTCCTATGTCCTTTGGAGCTTATATAATGGTAGTGGGTTTGTGTCAACCATCTTTATCATTGTTTTAATGTCACCTTTGCACCTAACATTTTTAGCATATTTTTAAATGTTTATACAGTTAGTGTACTGTATATTATAACAAAAAGAATAGAGGAAACCTGTTCTAATATACAGTGGACCCTCGCCTAACGAACGCATCGCATAACGTTAAATTCGCCTAACGATACA